ACCCAGAGTGGCAGTCCGTGGGAGTGGGGCTTGAACTCAGAACCTCTGGGACCCTCCCTCCCTAACCACTAGGCCACCACTCCCCCAACTCTGCCGATTGCTTCCGAGTATCCACATTATCCATTATGGATATAATCTTTTCATTGTTTGCTAGATTGGACCCAGTTTACATGGACTTGCTTGGTGTCACATCTGCAGAAATGTAGCAGAAACTTCCGACCTTAAACATTCAGGGAAAAATAGGCCAAAGGCTTATAGATGCATCTTTGCTGAACTACTGAGGTGTCTAAAAAATGTGTCTGTTTTAGTCATAAAAGGTAAAATGAAGGGCTATATAAAGATCTTTTTTCAGTAAAAACATACAAAATATCTCCTAAAATCAGCACTGTGTAACTTTTAGCCACCAGGGGGCACTTTACCTGTAACTTTCACTGTTACAATAATAACAGTAATGATAAACAGTCTCCCTCTGTGTTTTGGAGTTTGATAGAAATCATTTTGGCCCAGCAGATTGAGAAGTCATGAGTCACTGATAAATTCAATCCCATTAACCCCTCTAGATTAGTGTACCCAAAATAAGTCTGCATTTTGTTTTCCCAAATTCTATAAGCTTAGTTAGCTGTTGTGTTAAACTGGAGCTCAGACTGGCATAAAGCGGCGCTCTGGCACTCCTTTAGTGACGTTTCCGATCTTCTCAAGTTACCTAGATGAGTTTGTGAGAGGAGTAGCCTGCATGGAGCGTTGAGATGAACCAAGTGCTGTAGATTGACCTGATAATAATTATGGTCCAAAAGTAATTGAAGTCACTTAAATCCTTTAAGAAAACTCAGTCTTGAGGCTAAGATTGTTTGAAAATGTTGAACTATCTGTCTCTGAGTAATTAAAACAGTCTGCGTTGCTGTTGTTTTTGTCTAGCTACACCATAGTGTTAATCTACTATGCCTTCTGCCTGGTAATGATGATGCTGCTGCGCCCCCTGCTGGTAAAGAAGATCGCGTGTGGCCTTGGGAAGACGGACCGCTTTAGGAGCATCTACGCCGCTCTCTACTTCTTCCCCATCGTCACTGTGCTGCAGGCGGTGGGCGGCGGGCTGCTGTGTAAGTTTTTTACCGTTGCACAGTTAAAACAATGTCGGCAGTATGTGAGAGTTAATGGATGTGCCTGTGTGTTGCAGACTACGCCTTTCCCTACATCATACTGGTCCTGTCACTGGTCACACTGGCTGTTTACATGTCTGCTTCTGAGATTCAGGTAAGGTTTTTCCTGTGTAGTTGCTGAAACAGTTGAATGGATCAGCAAATTTCAAAATAAAATCTTTCAAAACCTAACATTGGATTCTGGAGATGTTTAATATTTTGTGTTCTACCCCCCAGTCCCTCCAGTCTCTTATCTCCAAGAAGAAGCGTCTGGTGGTTCTGTTCAGCCATTGGCTGCTCCACGGTTACGGGATCATCTCCATCTGTCTTCTGGATAAACTAGAACTGTCCCTACCATTGCTCGCTCTGGTTCCTGGACCCACACTGTTCTACATCGCCACGGCCAAGTTCACAGAGCCCAGTCGAATCCTCTCCGAGGGAGGCAGCAGGCACTGACCTCCTTTTTTTGCTGGTTTACCATCTTTGCTGCTCGTTTACTGTTTAAAGTTGACGTTTGTGTGAATGCTGCTCACATCTGCAAACTTTGACTTCTTCCTGATAAGAGGAAATATTCCAACTTGTTGTGAGAGTTCAGCTACTCTTCTTTAATGTTTTCTGTTTCTAAGATGACTGTAAATATGTCTATTTGTAAATACGAATGTATTTATGTTTGCTCGTTACAAATAAATGTTTCACAAAAACAGAACTACAGTTTTGCTGCTGTTTTAATCTCATAGTAGAAATGAAAACCAACCTGTTTGAGATCAAAGATCCACTCAGTCCTTCCTGTCACATTCACCCCCAATCATCAACCTCTCTGTTATATTACAGAGTGCATGTTTGAATTCTCAGTTGTTCCTGATGCTCACTTCAGTCTTTTGGTCTTTAGTTTTCAGGTTGTGCATCAATGCATCCTGCTCTACTGACTGAGATGTTTCCCTTTAAAGCTACAGTGTGTAACTTTTAGCGACATCTAGCGGTCAGACTGCAGACTGCAGCAACATGAACATCCCCCCCCCCACCGCTTCTCCCCCCCAACAGTACGGCGAGCGTTACGGGACAAAATGTCTTCCACGACGTCCACATCACCTACCTTCTCAAGTGATGAGGTTTGTTTACATAGATAATTTTACAGATAGTATTTCATTAGTCTGTGTAGGGTATAGATTTCATGTAGACTTAAGATAATGAATATACCCGTTATTTTTTCTACATCGTTGTGACGTTTTGGCGATCTCGCAATCGCTAGTTTGTTGGCTCTGCGCTGCCGTAGCGCAAAGATGTCTGCCTCCATGGCTGCAAGACCCGCTCCTATGTAATTATAAATAACGAATTCTAAGGAAACGCAAATATTAGGGTTAAGAGGCTGAGCTCGTAGATGATTATAAATAACATAGTTATGTATTATATATTACATTTCTGACTGTATATCCCTGTAATTATTACACACTGTAGCTTTAACTCCTGTTCCTAGATTTGGTTACTTTCAGATGACTTAGGCTCAGTCATCCTTCAAGATCTGAAGTTTATCACCAAGTGAGTTTGTGTGCTTTAATTTCCCAACTCACCTTTTATTACACCGCCTTCACCTCCGTTTTCCTTCCCATAAAAAAAAATAATATTCAGAATGCACACACTTTTTCCACATTAGATCTAGCTTTTTGCGTTCTTCCTCTGGGAAGCTATTGGCTTTTCTATTAGTGCAATTTAATATGTCTATTTCCTGTTTTTCCATCCAAAGTGGTTGTTACCCAGTGCCATAAGGTATTTTTTTCTAATATTAAGCCATTTATCAGACTATCTCAGATGTTAATTTATTTTCTCTTCCTTGAAGGTATCGGTATGTTTAGAGTTTGTACTGCTGTCTCTCTTCTTGAGGAAGCCATTGATGAAGCTATTTTATTACATCACAGACTAGTAGGTAAGGGGTGGAGCCTTTCCCACTTGGACAGAGACATAGGTAGAGGGGGCCACCACTGGCCACCCCTCAACTTATTTCCACTGATTTCTATTTATTCACTGGATTGCTGATAGACCGAAAAAAAAAAAAAAACTGAATTCACCTGCCACCATCTTGGTACTCCCCACTTTAACAGAGCTGTGCCATAAAAATGCCTGTAATGTAATTAATACATGTATATTCCATGTAGATAATAATTTGAGCACTTTTGGCACATCATCAGATAGTGTCTGGGTGCGTGCGTAATATCTGATTGCAGTATTATTATGCTCCATTAACACACTAATTTTGTTGTGATGGATTTGTATAATATGTAATATTAAATGATTTCTAGGCTTCATGGATTTCATATCGACTATGAAATGTGATGTGCCCATTTTTTACCATAAATACGGTAATCTACTGATGCTATGAAATAGCAAGTGTGAGTCAAAGTGATGGTTTTATCTTTGTTTTGAAAGTCTTAAGCCCCCCCCCCAAGAAAATGAGATCCTCCTCGTTGTTCGATGCCGTATCACATGTAATGTTTACATTCTGACCGGTCTAACTACAGAGTACCAATATGGCAGCCGGTGACTTCACAGCATCGCGTACCACCAACGGAATAGAGATCTGTGCTTATTTCCTGTTCCCATGTGGATGCAATTCAAACGCAGCATCAAGCAGTTTCAGTCTAAACCTGATTGGCAGCAATCATGCATGATTTATTTCTTCAAATCATTATACTTACACTAAAGATGACATACCGAATTTGTGATTTCAAGAGATGTCTTTGTATATTATAGGGGAGAAGAAAAAGTTACATTTCTACAGGTTTTCTTTGACTCTTCTATGATATTTAAGATAAAGAACTGCTGAATCTATTCAACATGTGCTATGGAGAACAATAAATGATTAATGTAGAAATCAAGGCTGTATTAATATGCGTGTATACTTATTAGCAAAAAAAAAAAAACTATTAAAATTTAGCCAGTCCCTTGTGATTTAGTTGAAAAAGTATAAATGTTTTGCTAATTTACCTGGCTGTTGGTAAAGTGAGATTAGTGTAGGATGGCCAATGAACTACATTGGTCCCTGCCCCCCCGTTACACAAAGAAGCCGGTATGCTTCATCTTTTGGCCATTTCATCCCTCCTCTGAGCTCATCTGCTGAGATGTTTCTTCCCTTGACTGAGCCTCCAGTGGATCTAGTTTACACCAACCTTTTCTAACATGGAACGCATAGATGTGCCTCTACATTACATTTTTGTGTCCATTTCTGTCTTGAACCCCCAGTCAGCCTTGGCAAAAGGATTTAGCCTGTGCCTGGTTCCTCTACACAGCTCCATGCTGAGTTTAAGGGATTATCTATGGTTGCCACATGCAAATCCTGCAAAGTCAATTACTTTATGACTTATATGGAAATCTTTTAAACCAACCAGTCTGCATGACTTAATTGATCTTCTTTTAGGTGCCTAAATATACAGAAAAATAAAGTATGCTTAGATCTTTATTTTTGTTTTTAGCTGTCTCTTTAACTCTTGTAGCCATTGGCCATGAGTGATCTTGTTTTTTATTTAGTTAAAAAGGAATCCTCACCCTAAAATTTAAATTTTTTTGGTCTTTGATGTCCTTTTGGTGTCCAGTTGAGGCAGATGGCTGCTAATAATGAGCCTGGTTCTGCCTGTTTCAAATTACCTTTTTCTTCCCCCTATTACCAGTTGCTTTATTGGGATAAGAGGGTCATTAAAAAAAAAAAAAAGAGCTCAGAATCAAGTCCAAAAGACAAACTCCCATATGATCAGATAGGGGATCCAATATCCAGATAGTCGGCTTTAATGATCTCAATTAGTGTCAAACATTGTTACCTTGGCAACAGTCTGATAAAGAAGCTGATATTTAAGTTTAATGAGCAGACCAAAGATGTATGATCAGCAAACCTTTTATTAAATTCACTTTTAATAAAACACAGCAGTATCAGAAACGATATATGTAGGAGAAAAAAAACTGATTCTGATATTTGGTGTTTCTCCTACACTTTGTTTCATTCTTATAAATTCACCAGAAATCAGCTTCAGTGTGTTTGAAATGTATGGGCAGTATGAGCACATGTTCAGAGACAGCTCAGCTTGTTGAATCACATCCTGCTCAGTGGCAACACGTTTTAATGAGCTAGTTTCCTCTGAAAGTCTTTTAAACAAGAACAGATATGTCTCTTCTAAAAGGAACTAAACTTAGACGCTGCTGCGTTTCACCACACCGGTGATCAAAGAGACAAAACTGAGCAAAAATAAAATAATCCCCCGCCCTTGAAAAGTTCCTCCTCTTCTCTGGGGCTTGAAGATCACATTAAAGTTGTTGTGGTTAGAGTTTGAACTACTGATATTAGATGTTTAAAAAAGAAAAAAAAAACGATCAACAGCTGACTCCATTTCTGATTCTTACTTCAGACAAAAAAAAAAAAAAAAAAGAAATTGATTGTTAGGTAAAACAAATTGATCCAGAGTGAGGCAAAGCTGTTTAGTTGAACATTGAATTTTCTGTGAATATGGTTCTGCTGCTGCATAGGTTAACTAACACACCAACCGAGGATGAACATGACATTTTTCCTGCAATCCGTCTGACTGATTATTAGGATCCTGCAGAGCTACATTAAGGTGATGAAGTCAGAGGCTTATTTGGAGCTAATGCTCCTATAAAACAAAGGAGACGTTCGGATTGGCATCTTTAGTCAGATAAGAGGGGGCAGAAGATTATCAGGATGTTTGGAGCAGCTTCAGGAGAAACATAACTTTGGCTTGTTTGTGCACACAGTTCCTGTCTTCATCACAATTAATGCTGAAACTGCAGTAAAGGCAGTTCCATGTATGATTATCCAGGGAAATCCTTGATATTCTTAAATGGAATTTAATTTCCACTTTAAAAAAAAAAATGTCGCCCATAACAGATCTAAAAGATGCTCCACAAACATCTCCCGCTGATTACAAACCTCCATCAGCAGGAAACCAGGCAGCATCAAAGAACCCAGCTGCTCCACTCTGAGCATCACTTCTGAATGTAGATGATGATTATGCACAGAGTTCCCACCAGTCCTAAAGCCTGGAAACCCAGGAACCAGAGC